CACACCTACCCAAGATATCCCTCCCGCCAACCTCACTCCTTCCACTAGTCGTTCAGGACGACGCGTCCGTTTCCCTCAGCACTTAGCTGATTACGAAACTTAAGTTAGCAACTTTTGATTCGTTACTTTAGTTATTCGAGCGTTTTCCCATTTCATGGTCAACGCTCTAGTGGGGGAGTAGTGTGGCGTTTTTGTACCTTTATTTTACTTCCATAATAACACTAGGTATTTCATCAATTGCATAATCGTTTTTTGTTTGAATACGAGAAACTACAAAAAACGCGCCCTTGTACAATTTCACATAATACAAGCGTGGTCACGTGCTTCGACTCTCTCTTCTGATTTCGCTCGCGCTTGCAGCGGTCATTCGCGAGTCTCATATACTAACTCTGGTACTCAAAACATTTCAGACTATCTTCGGAATCTATTATATGTGGAAATTGTTCAGAAGAAGACCTCTGGACCAACACTATTGGATTATTGTTTATTCGCTGACCTGGGCCAACGACGAACTATTTTAAAGAGAACAATTGTTAGTGAGTCTGTTCCACCTGCCCTATTTATTTTTGTATACCCAACTTAGCGTAATTATTTTTATTACTTTGCCACACACTCCTGATAAACTGACTTATTGGTAGCCAGACCCCAGACCACTACAGTAGCAAGTGGTGAAATGAGTCGGAATCTAGTTAGAATGAGCTGAGCAACCTAGCCATGAAGGATTTGCTAATACAATACAAATACGGTGTAAGGAACAGAACAAACAAGTGTCGGTATTTTTCTGTTTATTGAGTATGAAGATCACACGAACAACAACGTAAGAGACCAGCACTGTTGTTGAACGGGTTCCTCGTGTTTTTAGCGTCACTCGGACAGCAGGTGAAAGGCCGGGGCATGGGAGTGCTTGCCTGAAGATATTTTAGTAGATTGGGGATTTAGTCGTGCTAAGATGGGTTGACCATCAAGGACTTGTCCATAACCTAGTAGGTATGGACAATTACAGCGTGTCTGACAGGGAGCTGTGGTGGCCTGTAGCTCTTTTGGAGTTCATCAGAAAGGCTTCGAAGAGTGAAGATGTGACGTTATGAGGCACAGCTGTCACGTAACGAACAATACGTAATCATCCCTCCTGTATTCGCTCAGCACCGTTTTGATTGGTGTAAATTGTAAGTGCCCTGTAACAACTAAGTTCACCACTAATCTCGTGGCAGTAAAATAGTAGTTACAAAAGCAAAATACAAGTCGGAAATTATAAAACTAAAATCACTTCCAAATTTCCGTCAGATAAATCAAGATGGAATCTGATTTCCGAACACACGCGAATTGCGAAAATTAGATGGGACGATTCTCCCAGTCACCGCGGTATCGCAGTAAAATTGGACGACCGGATATAGACCACGAAATCGCACCATACTGTGCTCTCCGCCTACCTGTTTGAGTATTCAGCTGCAGGAATACCCAAAGGAAACTTTATTTGAGCTGACTGTTTTATTTTTTTCCGTTATGTTGACTTGAATCTAATTAAGCGCTTCATCCTAAACGGTCTCTTGCTGTAATATATCATCCACAACAAGATCTTATGGGGAACGCACTAAGGATATATTTGTACACATAGCATTTGCACTCTCAAATAATTCATTGTTCTGGATTTCATGTTCTTGTGTCGGATATTCGTCAAAGAATGTATTGGTAAACTTTATGCACACCAAGCTTCTCCTGCCAGAGATTGCTCTCAAAAGTCCCAGGTTTTTGACTTGATGTGTCTAAGGCGCCGTTTGAACTGCGGCAGTGGATGACATTTGACGACCGAAGTTTCCATGCGAAGATGACCCTGTTTCCGTTTTGGGGATAGAGCATCCAGTCACTGTTTGCTCGTTAAATAGCCGTCTTCATTTCGACGTTTTTACTCTGACTGACTTTGTCCGTAATCCCGACATTACAATTTCCGCGACCAGTGCGGTAAGTTACTTTAATTACGCCAACAACCAGGTCAGGATATCTTTTTCCCTTATGTCGGTTGTGAACGATAAATAGGCTCTTGTAAAACTACTTTGAACGGGGGTCCCAAGATCACAGTCATTGTAAGATGGAAGATCGCCACCAGGGCGCTGTGGGTTCGGGAGTTTGCCGAACACTTCTACCATGGTCTGTTCCCCTTTGTTTGCGCCAGGGAGTTCTCAAGGTATCTGTGAGACTTTTAGCCTAAAGCGTTGGCTGAAGAAGAAATGGTAGGAAATAGAATGAGTAACTTTGAAAGATCCTATTAAATCGCCAAATCTTCATTATATGTACCCGACAGCATTGTTTGAGGAGTGGGTTCCGGTTGGTCGAATCTGAATATGGGGTCTCGCAGTGTGACACTTTTTGAAATCGATTTTGTCTCAGGCATCAGAGAAATATCGAGCCCTTTTCTGATGGTAATAGCTATTTCACCCCGGTGATCGGGCTTGGATGCGCGGCCATGATTCTTCTGGTTGTGGTCAAGATTGCAACAAATTATATCTGCTAAATTATAGCGTCCGGTAACTGTAAATGCTTCAGCTTACATGTTGCATATATTCATCCGCGGCGGTACTGAAGAGACAACTTCGGGGAAAGGTCTCCATGATGTGTATCCCCGAATATCTTATAGGAAATTCTTATGAATACATGTTGCATATATTCATCCGCGGCGGTTCTGAAGAGACAACTTCGGGCAAAGGTCTCCATGAAGTGTATCACCGAATATCTTATAGGACATTCTTATGATGACCAAACGGCGAAACCTCACAGGGACGAGGATGGGGTATCCAAAATCAGCAACCATTGATTGAAAACTTTGTCGTTGGGTCAATTGTCCAAGTTGTAGTGGTCTGGCTACCCAATAAGTTACTTTACCAGGAGTGTGTGGTAAAGGGATGAAAATAATAACGCTAGATTGAGTATACAATAATAAAGTGGTCAGAATGAATAGACTGTCTAATTATTGTTTTCTTTAAAAAAGTTCATCGTTGCCCAGGTCGACGAACAAACAATAGTCCGATCATGATTGTCCAGGGGTCTTCCTCTGAACATTTACCACATATCATAGATTCCGAAGATAGTCTGGAATGTTTTGCTACTAGAGTTAGCACATGAGACTCGCGAATGACCGCTACGAGCGCGAGCGAAATCAGAATAGAGAGTCGAAGCACGTGATCACGTTCGCATTGCATGAACTTGTTCATGTGCACGTTTTTTTGTATCTTTTGTATTCAAACAAAAAATGGCTATGCAGTGGACAAAATACGTATTGTTATATTGGAAGCAAAATAAAGGTACAAAACGCCACAACGTCATCCAAAAAGAGAGAAGGAGGCCAATTTGTTTGCCGATACTTTGTGGTACACCTCACTAGGTTACCATTTTTGTTATCACAAAACATTTCGAAAAAAATTGCGCCTCACAAACGAACAACTCTCATACGACGCAGATACCGTCAAACTTATGGGGCTACATTTTACGCCTGTTTATTGTAGCTGCCGGTATTTCCTTGTCACGGAACGCAGTGAATGAAAGACACTTACCGACCGAGAACTGGCCGGATGAATCCGCAGAACATTAGAGGGAAAGTTGCTTCATTCAGCCCCTACACAAATGGGGACTTTTTGCCGGCGAACACAGGACATGATTTTACTTCCCTCAACCACAAAGCATTGGCTGCAAAGCCAAGTTCCATTCATGGGTTGACGCCAGGTAATCACGAATCAGTTAAGCTCAGAAAAGAGCTTGCATTCGCAACCTTACACGGTGTGCGAAATCAATCCAAGTGCTCAGAATTTGACTGACCTTGAAACGGCATTCACCACTGGTACTCGGCATTTTCTTCTTCCCCTGCCCCAGGGTGTCCTGCCTTCTGGGCATTTTCCCCACATGTTGGCTGATTTGGTAACATGAACTACTATTGAAATTCAAATTTGATAACAGCTTTATATCAAGAGGTTTTGTTCCAAATTGTTTGCTGCTCAGTGACTGAAAGCACAGCGGCGTTAATAGTTCGATTTAGCAGATTTGACGTAGAAAAGAGCGCTATGAGCTCCATGCGCTTGTTGAAAAGACCCCTCAGGTCTTGAACTAAACTGCACGAACGATATAATTGCTGTAACAATGATAAAGGCCATATGAGTTCTAGATACCGTGTGCCTGTCATCCGGCCAACCGACCCGCTTGGAAGCTCCCGGCAGCACCTTTTGAGAATCGTCTGAGCGGCCAAATAATATGCCGCAATATTATCATGAAGTTAACGACTTCCAGTTACATAACATATGACCAT